TTTCCAAATCATCCGATGAAAGTTGAGAATAACGAAAGTAGTCTGCTCGTAACGAGTAATAATAATCAGCTGTTCGCGATTCCTTTTGTAAGATATTTTATAATAAAGTTTGTGTGTGTTACCATTCGTTGTTTGTTATTATTTCTTTTTTTTTTTTCAATCAATATTATTAATATATTGGATCGGAGGGGGGGGAAAGATCAAACAACTTTCCTACCGTTCGTATTTTGTATATATCAAAGTCCGGGGGGTTTTTTTATAACGAATTCAAATCATTTTTCGATCGATATCATTTCATTTCTTATTTATAAATGTCATTGGTCTCTTTAGTACAATTTTATTCTTTTTTTTTTTTTTAATTTGCAATTAATTTGCATAAACTTCGAAAGGGAAAAACGACTCACGAATATATTACTTCAAGTGTTACATAAAAATGATATCATATATAAGTTGAAATAATTAAAAAAAGCTCTCCCAGAAAAATATCTAAATACGTGTTTAATCTGACACATGACAGGATACAGATTTTATTTCTTTTTTTTTTTTTTTTTAATATTCTATACAGTTAAATAGGGGTCCATCAGAGTGGACCCTCTTTTCTACAATTGTATAGAATTTAATCGAAATCGGGGTCAATTATGGTTCTGCCCTCTCCTTGTCACAGTTATATAAACCTATATATTTTTTTGTTGTTTTAATTGTAACCGATCAAAAAAAAAAAATAAATGACATATACGTGGAACAACTTGTCAGATTTTGATTATCATCTTAATTCTCTAAAACCCCCGGCGAGTTTCACCGAAATAGAAAGATCTCAATTTATGAAAATACTATGTCATAATCCTCTTACGAGCTGTCTGTCTGTCTGTCTGTCTGTCTATCTCTCATACAGATCGCGTGCATGTAAATATTAATGCGTAAATGTATGCATGCAATTGCGTGTAAGCAACGACGCGAAACGCCCTTTCGATCGGGTTGCTTGTTGTAATCGTTTTTGCCTTTTAAAATGGCACACTTTTTCGAAACCATACTATATAACTGCATTTGGGGGGACTTACGTAATAATAATCGTAGAAAGGAACCGATCAACCGAATCAGAGACGATGACGATATGTTATATATGTATGTTTATTCTTTAATTAAACATCTGGTTCAAACCCCCCCCCCCTCCCCCACTCCTCCCACTCCCCCGACCGAACAACTAAAATAATAATTAATATAATTAATCAATTTATTCCATCAACAAAAGCAACACGTAAGTTACGATCAATCATAATAATATTTAATACAGTACGAATTTTATTCCTTGAGAACGATCAATCATAATTGTCCAACCATTAAACGAGAGGGGTTTAATATACACACGTCTGTATAATATATCACATTCGTATTCATTTATAAGAATATTTATTAGATATATGTTGGGGAGGGGGCGAATGTATGTAGAATTTAATTTGATTTTATTGATAAAATTAAATAAATTCGATTATGTGTTTATGTATTGTTGATAAAATAATAAATAAAATAGATATATAATAGAAATAGTTTGTGGACATATATATATAGTATCCAATAAAGAATTTTAATTAAAAATTATGAATTGGGTTGTAGTATATAAAATACACATGGTTTAATTTTAAAACAAATTCCAGCATTTTAACGGGATGGGTAACAAACTGTTTTAGGTCTTTGGATTCTTTTTAAAGTGTACTATTATCATCTAAAAATAAAGTACAAAATACGTATCGATTTTTTTTTCTCGATACTATGCGAGAAGAAGAGAAAGAGAGTGAGTGAGTGAGTGAGTGAGTGAGTGAGTGAGAGGAGTAGTTGTCGATGAAAACTTGTGAATGTAGAACATGGTGGTGATCCCTCTTTCACGGTCTTTTTATCCGAACCGAAAATCGATACGGATATTGTTATTCGGTTATTTTTGCGATAACCGCAAAAAGAGATGATTCCCACCAACACCACCACCTACGAAATTTGCATCTACGTACAAAAATTGAAAACATACTTGTAAACCCTCATTTTTCTTAAATCTAACTTAAATTTGTGCAATTATAAACCTATACACATTATACGGATTAAAAATAAACAAATTTAGTCTAGTTCAAATAATTTGATTATAATTTAATTCACTTTGTAATTTTGAAGTAATTCTCATCATATATATCTTGAATATTCTCAAAAATTTCCTGACACTGGAAGGATAATCACAAGCTCATCTAATGGATAATCAAGATACAACAACGATTGAAGAGAACAACATGTATTACATTTTTTAATGTTTAATTATTATAAATTATATCTTATTTATATATCTTAAAAATCAGATCTACATTAAAGAAATGTAAAAGAAATCATTTACTCTGTACGAGATTCAAATTAATAGAATATATTTGAAATTAAATCAAATAATTTGTCGAAATTATTTCTATTACGAAAATACAATGTCCTAAATAAAAATCCAAACAGTTTCTTACGTACGTACACAAGTACACACACTCGTGTTTTTTTGTTTGTTAACACTAGAACTACGAACCGATCAAAATGACCGGTTGCATCATTTATTTATACCATTTCCTCTAATATTCCTATTTAATATTTTACAATAATAAATAATCTATAATATTATTCTATACAAAAATTTAATAAAAATCATGACATTATCGTAAAATATTAAATAGGAATATTAGAGGAAATGGTATAAATAAATGATGCAACCGGTCATTTTGACCGGTTCGTAGTTCTAGTGTTAAATATATAATTTAATATTTCAGTAAACAAAATATATGTTACGACGAAAAAGTAAACGTCGATTCAATTTTATAAAGGAGAAATAATTCTCTCCCACTTTCTCTCCCCCTTTTTTTCTTTTTATTTTTTTTTCCACCGAAAGCACACGTGCGTGCTATGAATGCATTTGAGTTTTGCGTATAGTACTCGCTTAATATAAGCAAGAAAAGAGAAGAGAAGAGAAGAGGAGGAATGTTAGAAAGCTTTGAGTTCTTCATTGATTTTTCGTTAGACAACTGTTGGACAAAGAGATAGAATGATGTTGGATGAGAAAGAAATAATATTTTCTCTCTCTTAAAAAAAAAAGATAAAGTTGACTTTTTCTTTTATGAATGATTGAATTTGTTTTTCTTTTTGTTTTTTTTTTTTACCAAACGAACAAACTCCCTTCGGAATAAGAAAACTTTTCAATCGAGCATTCGCGATGTTACATACAAAAATCATTTATTCCTTTTCATAATGCAAGAGAACGAACAAAAAATAACTGTATTACTATAAAAAAAAATATATTATCGATTTAAAAAATCATCCCCTATTCTATCAACAACACACGCATAATATTACTAATGTTATTCAAATCTGTTTACAAATATAAACAACAATAGGAATGATTAGGGAAAGCTTTTTGAGTATTCTTCGTTGATTTTCTCTGAGATAAATTGTGAGATAGAAAGAAAAAGAGAGATATATGTTGGATGCTTGCAACTGATTCTTTTTGAAAAGAGAGAGAAAAAGAAAAAGAGAAAGAATATCAGAGAGAATAAAAAAAAAGAGGAGATGGTGGTGGACGGTAGTAGTAGTCTGGGCGTCTGCTAACCGTATGTACTACACGTTGGCTTTGTCGTGGAAAAAGGTTGAGTATAAAAAGCATGCGGTGACGCTTTTCTCTTTCTTCATTCCCTCCCTCCAATACTCTTCTTCTTCCTCTTCCTCTGGCTCCATTGGCGTGCAAAAATACGGAGGGGAAGGTACAAGTATACAGCGTTTTGTTCCTACCAAGCAACCGTGTTGCGTTGGACTAAACTTATGGCTATATTCCATCCCCATATATACATACACATACATACACATATCACACAAATATATTTTATATGTGCATTTACTATATATACATATATATATGGTATATATACGTACTTGTATGTATGTTTGTATGTGTATGTGTGCATACGATGGTGGTGCATTTACTATATATATGTATATGTGTGGTGGTGCGTGCACATCGTTGATGCAGCAGCCTACACAAAGTTCTATGTCGTCAGAGGGGATGATTTAGTTGAGCCACGTTAAAACGACGCGTGGTCGTCGTTTTCCTTCGTTTCAACGTAATGGCGAATTTGCCCCCACGGAATGGCGAGAATTTATTCCAATTTACAGATTTCTTTTCTTTCTTTCTTTCTTTTTTTTATTCTTTGACGCGAGCTATTTTTAGAATTTTTCTCTTTATCCATTACTTTTTTAGATATTTAATATGTTGATTATTGTTAGCCTCATTGGAATAGGTTAGATGAATTATACTTTACATTAAATAATTGCACTTCATTTGTATACTTTAATTGTCAATCGTAAAATTAAAGTATAAAATAAAAAAATTTATATATATAGAGAGAGAGAGAGAGGAAAAGGATTAAATAAATAATTTAATCGTGTATATTGAAATTTCGTGAAAATTTGGCTTTTCAATAGTTATTACCGAGTTAGTTAGAGTTCTTTGGCAACTTTGGCTACGTGTTATCGTGTTGTTGTCGGTTGAAAGTTCAACCAACAAGAAGTTAGGATTTACGTTTTGTTCCTCTCTTTTCCTCGAAGTTATATTCGCCGTTGTTTCAAAGTCAACGATGGAAGAACTTTAGGAGAACTCGCAGAGTAACTCGTTTGTTCCAAGTGCATACTATGTTAAAAAGCAAAACGCATTTGTGATGCAACGCATCATCACCACCACCATCATCACCACTACTAGCACGTCTGGCACCTTAAAACGTTACGCTTTTAATTACAACTTTTAATCGACTTTTAATAACACGTAATACCACAACGTAATTCTTTAACATTAATTAAACGTTCAACATTAATTATAAACTATTCTTTGGAATCTTATTGAATTTTTCTTATTTTTCTCATTCCTTATATTTTCTTCGATTTACTTTTAGTAATCTTTATTCATTCTTATCGTATTATAACGTTCTTTGTATCTTTTTCAGGGTCGACACACCAAAACGGGTCAGCTGGCGGCCATCAAGGTCATGGACGTCACAGAGGTAATTTTACTCGGTTGAAAACCGATCGGAAATACTTACTACTTACTTACTTACTTATTCGTTCGTTTCCTTTGTTAAATTTACTCTATAAATATACTACTACTATTTACTGTTGAATTTAAATCTATCATATATGAGAAGAACAAAAAACAAATAATAAATTATCCTACAATCGCGAATGATTTTCATCGATATCATTTGAATAAATTATATTTCTAATTTGAAAAATATTTAAATGATAGAAGAATTGAATGAACACATATACACACACTAGATTATTTACGCCTGTTAATAAATTTCACAAAATTTCTACGTACTACAAAGTGATAAATATAATATTAAAAAAAAATAACAAATCATAGAGATTATAATAAAAAAATAAAATATACTATAATACTAATCAGTGTTCATACTATTCGTAAAATTTTTTCGATTGGTTGTTCTTGTTTAGATTTGAGTTTGGCTGTGGTTGAGGGACCTTCCTCTAACGTTAGCTTTTGTTTTCCCATTTCTTTCTATTTTACATAGAAAGAGATTGTATGCGTGTTCATCATCATCATCATCCTCTTCTTCTTCTTCTTCTTTATTTTCATCTCCTTTTCTCTGTTAAAAGAGTCAATCTTGTAACGCACGAGTAAATCTCGACTCTACTTACCTACTTAACGGCTACGAACGGCATGCGGTTTTCTTACGGCCATCTACGCGTACTGGAATTCTCACATTCTCTACGCCACTAATGGTAATGCTTTTTGTTCTTAGGATGAAGAGGAAGAAATCAAGTTGGAAATAAACGTATTGAAGAGGGTAAGCTTATTATAATATAAAACAACCGATTATTATTACTATCGTGTTGTGTGTATATACTTATGGGCGTTATATGGTGTTTGGAATTAATACAAAAAAAAAAACAAATAAACCTGCGTTGAACTTTCAACGCATTATAAACTTTTGTCCATCTTTTTCTTTTTGCTTTTTTATATCTTATTATTATTATTATTAAATAGTTTTGTGTGTGTGTTTTTTCTTGTTTTTATTTGTTTTATGTTTACAGTATTCGAATCACAGAAACATAGCTACATACTACGGTGCCTTCGTGAAGAAGTCATCACCGGGAAAGGATGATCAGTTATGGTTGGTTATGGAATACTGCGGAGCTGGCTCCGTCACAGATCTCGTCAAATCGACGAAGGGTCAGAGCCTTAAGGAAGAATGGATTGCATATATTTCTAGAGAAATATTACGGGGTCTAAGTTATCTTCACAGTAATAAAGTTATTCACAGGGATATCAAAGGACAGAACGTACTTTTAACTGACAATGCCGAGGTCAAGCTTGGTACGCATTCTTGTTTCATTCTTTTTTTTAAATGCACTTATTTAATTTTTCTTTTTCTTTTATATATATGTGAGAACAATGAAAAGAATTGTTTTATCTTGGAAGCGCGGGAAGAATAAATTTGGATTTTTAATTTCTCGTTGTGCACCACAGTTGATTTTGGTGTTAGCGCCCAATTGGATAGAACGATAGGAAGAAGGAATACGTTTATTGGTACACCTTATTGGATGGCACCAGAAGTAATAGCTTGCGATGAGAATCCCGACGCTACTTACGACAATAGAAGTGATCTTTGGTCTCTCGGAATTACCGCTTTAGAAATGGCTGAATCACAACCTCCACTTTGTGACCTCCACCCGATGAGAGTTAGTATTTTTTTTTCTTTTTTCTTTTTTTTCAAATGATATTCCTTTAACGAGAAACGATTTAAGATTGATGTTAAATTATACGAGTAAACGCACCTGTACTTTTGTATATCATTACACAAATAGATAAATAAATCATTCGATTTCAAATGTTATACTTTTTTTTTTCTTTTTTTTTTCTACAAAAATTCCAGGCATTGTTTTTGATTCCGCGTAATCCACCGCCTAGACTGAAATCCAAAAAATGGGCAAAGAAGTTTCATGGTTTTATCGAGACTGTATTGGTGAAGGATTACCATCAGAGGCCTTACACCGAACAATTACTTAAGCATCCATTTATACGGGACCAACCGACGGAGAGACAAGTCAGAATACAATTGAAAGATCATATCGATCGTTGTAAGAAACGCAAACAGGAGAAAGGTATAATAAATACATATATCTATATATATATATATCATCCTATCTCTCTTTTTTTAATCAAGTCTTGTTGTTTCAATCTAAAATAATATTAATGATATATTATAGAAAGAGACGATTACCGATACAGCGGTAGCGAGAATGAAGAAGATGAGCCAGCATTAGCCGGTGAACCATCATCCATAGTTCAAGCACCTGGTGGTGATACACTGAGACGTAATTTCCAACAAATTCAAGAAGGTCGAACGTTAACGCAAGACGTTTCACCTCAAGCACCAGCCGGTAAGGATAAACCAAATCAAGGTAGATCTCAACGGGAAGTACCAGAACCAGGTCCACCTGCGAGACCAGCCATTCCACACAGATTAATCGGTAAGGTGTTAATATATATATATAGAAGGTTTCTTAATTATTATAATAGAAATTATTTTTCAATTCCTATTTTTGTTTTATTATTGACCATTATATTGTAGTCGTGCCAGATCCGCAGCCACCATCTCGACCATTACCACCTACACCTAGGGATGACCCACGACAATCCCACAAGGTCTCGACACCGCCCTCCAATCATCAAGCACCTTCTGCTGGCGGTGGGGGTAGCGGGGGTTCCGGTGGACAAGCCGCACCTCAAAGAAACAGCCACGTGTTTAAACCTATGGTAGGGATTTTTGTTCTAATTATCGATCGATATCGTTCCGTTCTCCCTTTCTACTTACCTATCCCTCCCTTAACCCCTTCCTTACCATTCCTATTATAAAGTTTCCTTCTTCTCGATAACAACTCCTGCCATAACCGTAGACCATGGTGGTGAAGTAATTAAAATAGTATATATATATATATTGAAGATTAAATTTTGAATTAAATCGATGAATCGGTGTTAGATCATAATAGAAACTTCAATGTAATATCTCAAAACNTATAAGGGTCCATCAATACAAAGGCCCCGTATAAAAAATCACTTACCTACCGACCCGTATAAGGGTCGAAAGAATTTAAAAAGAAAATATATATATAATAATATATAGTAGAGAAGGCACACGCTGTCTTTTTATCCTTTTTTACTTTTTTTTTGCAATTATGCTGTTTTCACCACGATCCAGCCGTATTATCTGTGAAATGCATAGTTCTCTCCTCTTATATCTTCCTCTCTTTCTTTTTCTATCTATCTCTTTTTTGCTATCTCTATCTCTCTCTCTCTCTCTCTCTCTTTCTCTGTACTTATTATACATATACATAGACACACACTATGCATTTGTTTATTTTATATATATATATATATATATTATATATTATCTTCATTGCACGCAAAAGTTTCGTTCTACTTGCTGTTATGGCATTTAGGCGTGCACGCTGACAGATATAACATATTTACCAATTATATTACATATACTCATATTCATTCATATATATATATATATACAATACATCCGTACATTCACCACAACACATTTTTTTCAAAGCGCCTTGCACCCGAATTTGGAATGTATTTGGTTTTTGTTTTTTTTTTCCATGTTCACACGAACCCGTAGCTGCCGCCGAGGAGGCCTGAGGTAAGAAAAACACGCACACCAATAATTTCTTCTCCCTTATTATCGTATTACATATTATCAGTATATTATTTTCTTGTTCTTTATGTTTCCACTCACATATATAGCAAATTTATATATCCAATCAGTGGTTAATATTGATATATGTATATAAAAATATATTCAAAGAAAAAATTAATTAGTTGGATGAATCAGATTGACGAAAGGGGTACAGTCGTTATGCGAAGAAAAATATAATTTACTATTTAATCAGTTAACTGTGGTGACACCATCCCTCTTTGAAAATTGTCTACTCAAATTGTGTTGCAAAAATGCAACATTAACACAAAATATATACATAAATATACATATATAATAAATATACATATATATATAAATATACATATATATATATATATATATATATTACTATTTTTCTAACATTATATTCGTAAATCACAGCTAAATGATTAATGAATGATTAATGAATATTTTTAAATATTTTAAATACACTGATTGGTTATTAATTTTCCTGTATATGCATTAACTGTCTTTACTCAATACTTCTTCAATATATATATATATATATATATACATACATATATAAATATACATATTACCTATCGCTTGAGCACAGCAGCATTGTACTATTATACTTTACGCCTCACTCCAATCATTTTGACTGGATTTAAAAACAAAAAAAGAACGAGTAAAATCGTACAATGTTCACAAAGCAAAACAAACAACACGTTCGTTGGTGTTTCGAGAATCGTCTTCGTCGTCGATGTCACTCATTCGTTGTTGAAAGGGGGAGGGGAAAAATGACAAAACGCTTTACCTGCGTGTGTTCACATATAATAATAATAATAATAATAATAAAAAGAAAAAAAAGAATTATTGTGTAAATACGTTCAACGTTGTCGCTTTTCTTTTTTTTTTTTTTTTTTTAAATCTAACGTATATGTGCTATTAAACAAAAAAAAACAAACAAACATTGTATTTAATTCGTTTAACAAAAATAATCGCGCAAAGAGCTTTTAATTCTAACGATTATTATTAAGAGGGATCATTTTCATAATATAGAAATCATTTTGCATAATTACCTTCACGAGCGAGGAAATAAACAATTGGAGTGTTCGCGAATCACTTGCTTCTTTGTTTCTCTTTCTATCTATCTTTCTCTTTCTCTCTCTCTCTTTCTCTTTCTCTCTCTCTCTCTCTCTGTTTTTATAAACGCAGTACTTTTATTCCCAACTATATTTTCTACGACTATTTTCTGCCTTTTATTCCGGCTTGGTTTGGCTGTGTCCAGTTGGGTGGCTTTTAGTATATCATTTATCTCGGAGGTGTCTCGGAACAGTGACTAACGGGGTTGTGCGTGTGTGCGTGTGGGTGGTAGGACTTGGACATGCTGGCCGCTCAACTCAACGAGCTTGGTGTGTCACAGGGCCCCGAGGCCCCGCCTAGGCCCAACAGACAACATAAGGGCCCACCAGCTACGTCAACCTCTAATTCGGTCCAGCCAGCGAGCGCTAATGATCAAAACAACAAACAGATGCAACAATCATCCAGTATACTCGATCAAGTAAGCTTTCTAATTCGCGTGATCATCAGTCATGATCATTATATCATGATAATGTTGTATTATATTGGGTATATTATACATTTTTGTATTTTCCCTAGATTATTTTCTTTTCCTTTTAATATTTTTACTCGTTACTCTCTTCTCTTCATATCAACCCCCTCCCCCACCACCCCACCCCACCCTTATGTATCTTTTCTATATTTCTACTATTACTACTACTATTACTTGCTTTATTATCGTTGACCTCCCCCTCCTATTCATGCTAGAGTATTTTGCAGCGTCTTGTGCCTTGTACAAAAAAACAAAAAAGAAATAATAAAAAAGAGAGAGAAGAAAAAAGGTAAAAAACAAATATATGTCGACGAGACTTGATTATGAAAAAAGAAAAGAAAAGAAAAAACAGATTGCTTCTGGGAAATGATTAAGATATCGAATTAAAAGTATTATTATTTTTGTCTAATTTCAGGCACTGTCGATTGAAAGTGACAGCGACGATGATCTCGAAGATGCTGGTAGTAACAATCTAAGGAACGATGGTACACTTCTCGCTAGCGATCCGCCTAAGCCTCTGTAAGTAGGATATGATAATTTATAGAACACATTACTCTTATAGCGCATAAAATAATTACTGCAAACTGGGTCATGTTCATTCGTTTCTAAAAAAAAAGGAAAAAAGAAAGAAAGAAGAGAAACACGAGAGTTGTGATTGGAGAGGGGAAAGAGAAAAAGAAGAGAGGGAGAGGGGGTGGATTTGTATCATTAACGTCAAGTAGTGAAATGATTATTATGATTGTAATGAAATTGTCAATACACACCGGTGTGTGTTTCCTTCTTCTTCTTTCCTTTTTTCACATACACACATACACAAATTATATAATAATATTATATATATAATAATATATTTAATTATATTTATTATATATAATAAATAATATATATAATAATATTATTTAAATTTCGTTTCATCTTTTTCATCATCTGTGTACGCCCCATCATCATCATCATCATCATCATCATCATCATCATCATCATGCACACCACCACCCCACGTACGCTTTTATGTGGACGCCGTTTTATCATCGAATCTTACATCATGGTCTCTCGCAACAATTATTCCTTCCAACGCGTATCATCGAACAAAAACTGCAACCACCATCACCACCACCACCAACATCACCACCACCACTACCACCCCATCGTTATGTTTAACATCGATCTCAACGTACGACAACAACGTCTGATTTACCTGCGGCAGTCCCGAATTTTCTCCTTTCAGGCCATCCTCGGATTCATCCTCGTCATCCTCGCACAACGCTCAGAATTCCCATCACGAAGGTAAGCCAAAAGGTAGGACACATCGATTCTAAAACTATATTATTTTATTAATAATTTATAAAATTAAGAAATTTCTTTATGGTTTTTGTTTTCTTCTTCTTCTTCTTCTTCAAACGTTCTTCATTCAATTTTTTTTCACAAAATTCACGACCAATTTGCTAACAGGATCCTCCCCCGTCTCGGTATAATTGTTTTTATTTGCTAGGGGTCTCGGAAAATTAATAATAATATTTATGTTTTTTTTTCTTTTTTTTTTTTTAACATAAACAAGTATACTTTTTAGAATTCAATTTTCAACTAAATAAAGGGAAGAAAATGTCAATTAGAAAATAATTTCTTTTTTTCAGCTTTGTGCACCCCTTGCAAAGGTCTCTCGTCGATGGTATAGAATCCCCCCTCCCCTATTTAACTAAACAGTTCGTACATCCCCGTATACGGCCTTTGAAAATATATTTTCTCTCAGCTGATATATAAATAATATTTTACATGTTAAATATAACTAATCGTATATGTATATATATATATGTGTGAATATAAATTAAAATGAGTATTGCCTTTGAATAAATTTAAATAAAATATTGGCAATAACTTATCGATTAACAACCCCCCCCCCCATTATTTCTTTGGTTTTTCATTTCGGGTATTTCGTTCGTTCGTTCGTTTGTTCGGTTATTTAATATTTCAACGGTGTATTTATTTGATTCGTATTTGACATTTTTCTAGGTGGGGCACCAAATCGACCATTACCACCAACGCCAGATGAGGAAGAATCCGGAGATCGTACACTAGTCATGAAACGAGTGAGTAGAATTTTTTCAAGTCAATTGTGCAAGCTAACAAAATACCCTTTACGTAGCCTATATATATATATACATATATATATTATTATTATCTTCTATTATACGATATATATATTTATATATATATATATATATTCGATCTATGGAGAGCTACTAATAATAATATAACGGTACAAATTAATATGTAAATTGAGTGTATGTGGACCTATATATATATATATACATTTGTTCTGTGTAATATCACGTTTTTTGGTAGATTACGCAGATCGTCCGCCATCTTTTCTTTTGTACGAACGAACCGTTTAGATACGTTTTAATCTCGTTTTCCAAAAAAAAAAAAAAAATAATTTCTTCGTATCATTAAAATTAAGAGAGGGGAAACAAAAAATAAAATACGAAATTAATTTTTTACAACGAAATCCGGTTAATGTTCGTGTAATTTCGTACAACGTGACAACGCATTTGTGTCCAATTTCTTTTTGTTTTTTTTTACCGAGTCATCACCTTTCAAAAGATTAATCATTGATCTTGTAATTTTTATATTTATCTTATCTTAAACATTTAAATGAAAAAAAAAATGTCAACGATTATTCTACTTCTTCCTTCGTACGAGAGAAAAGAAGAAGAAAAAACGGACGAACTGCGTGCTGGCTCATACGTTTTTTATTTTAATTTTTTTTTTTTTTTTGTTCTTTCTGCACCTATCTCGTACATTGACTGATATCCGGAACTAATTCAATGATATATATATATGATCGTTCGCTGAATCAACCCCCTCAGCCATATGTTCATGATCAATGACTCGCCGTGACTGAAAACCTTGTACGTTGAAAGAAAAAAAATTACTGTGGTGCATTGCCTTGTGTCTGTACTTTTGTCGCTGTCGTACGGTATCCACCATCCCCCTTTTCCCTCTTCCTTTTACCCCTGCACCAATCATACACGATCGATAAATACATTCACCATCGTAGACTATGCTGCACCGATGGTGGAGACTTCCCTTAATCAACCTGAACACGCGAATGCTTTCTTTAATACACCGTACACATACACGTATATATATGTATATATATATACACACAAAAAGAGAAAGGTTAATAATACGATCAAAGACAATTTCACGCTAATCTTTGGGGTCTTTATCTTTTTTTTTTCTTTTTCCTAAAGTAGATGATAATGTGTGTTGTATACGTAAAGTAGATGATAAAGAAAGAACGAGGGAAAGAAAGAAAGAGAGAATGAAGGAAAGAAAGAAAGAAATAGAAAGAGAGAGAGAGAGAGAAAGAGAGTGATAAAGAAAAAAAAGGAAGAAGTAAAAAGGAAGGATTAAGAAGTTCAATTAGAACTTCACCACCGGTTAGCAAGCTTAGTCGTTCCTTCAGTAATATCGTTACATATATCCACCCACCTACCACCATTACCATTACTACCACCACTATCACCATTGTAAAAAAAAAAAGAAAACCAAAAAAGAAAAAAAAAACAATCTCCAGCACAATCAATCTCTTCTCACCTGTCACACATTGTTATTATCGCACGTATCTTTTTTTCTTGTTTTTTTTTTCTCTGTCATCGTACCATTACCCTCGTCGTCGTGCGCGCCTTTAGAAACTTAGTCAGACATCAGACGATCGTGCAACGGCTAGCGACAACCGCCGCTCAGAGATAGACGAGCAGCTCCTTCTGAAGGAGTGGGACTTCACCCGCTTCTTTCAGGGTTTTAACGAAAGGTTGGATAAAATGAAACAGGAGCACCAGCAAGATGCTGCGACGTTGGCTGCTGCGGCGACGTTGGCTGCGGCTGCGGTCGGTACGAGCAAATCCGGGAGCGAGGAACGTTCCTCTTCTTCTGGCGAAAGAACGCTTAAGAGGCAGGAGCAGTTAGCACGTAGGAAATACGAGCAGCAGCAACAACAACAACAGCAGCAGCACCACCACCAACAACATCAGCAACAACAGCAGCAGCAGCACCATCACCACCAGCAGCCTCAGCCTCAGCCTCAACAGCAGCATCATCTTCATCAACAACATCAAAAACATCAACAGCATCAGCAACAACAGCAGCAACAGTTGAAAGCTGTTCACAGACGACAAGAAAGCGATTCGAAACTTGGTAACACGTCTAGCGCGTTCGCGCGCGCATTTCGCCGTGAAAATTCGGATTTTTTCCCGTCAACGAGGCACTCCGCTTATCTACAAAAGTCGGACTCCTCGAGGTCTAGCATATTCGCGAGCGGTAATCGACGTGGCAGCGAGATAAGCGTAGCAGGAATAGTCGGTAAGAAGGGTAACGGACTTAATACCGGTGAGCCCGTTCTCACTGACTTCTCGTTTGGACGTGACGGGCCCCAAAGGCCTAGGAGAGAAAAAACAGAGAGCGAAATCGTCTTCGGTAACAGGCACGAGGCGAGGAGACTCGACTTCGGGCGGAATAAAGACGATACTACAAGGAGACGCAGTTGTAGACCTTCAGATGCGGCTGCCCTGGCCGTGTCAGATGACGCCGGAACAATTAAATCCACGGCCAGTACAACGGCTAGCGAGTACAGCCCTGTTGTCACCCAGGTCAGTCCCACCTGCGAGTCCTGCCTGTGTGCTTGCCTGAACTCTACTACCCCCCATTATATTCCTAAATCAATTCGACCCTTCCGATATTATTATAATAATAATAATAACAACCCTCACATTATTCTACTTCATCCTCATATTTTTCCCATTCAACAACAGATTGACCTTATCACCCTTCTCCTCGACCTTCGTATACTTTTACTACTACTGTTATTACTGTTAATACTAATACTGTTATTACTATTACTCTCCCTAACCCTTTCCGGTGTCTATCGATATTCGATTTATACGTATTTATATACCTTTCCTCCTTCGTTTCGTAGTTAATTCTTTTTTTTTTGTTTTAAACTCAATCGAGTCTATCACCTTAATCATATTTCAACTCATGACCCGCCCCCAACCCCTAACCCCCTCATTTATATATATTACAACGAAGTTTATATAATTTTTTTCTTTCATCTACCATTCGAGTATTCGATATTAATTAAAAGTCGATCATCAATTCGTTCATCAATTCGAATAAATAATCATCATACCTTTTCATTTTTATTATTAGATGCATCTTGAGAGATCGTTCAATCATTTATTTAATGATACATCTCGTTTATATTTGGAGTAAATAATTACGCTTGAATCGTTATTTAAACGCCATAGTGTTGTGTTGCAGTTTAGAAATAAATGTTTTAGATTATTATTATTTAGGATTATTCTCCGAGACGATTATTGATGGACACCAATTCCGCATTTTAACCAGTCCTTTTTTTCTTTTTCTTTCTTTTATCTTACATATTTTTCTCTTAATATATTTATTATAAAATCCATTATATCCGAAATCCAATGGCATATTATTATAACGTTCACCATAGAAGGCTAGTCAGCTACGCTCGAGTTTTAGGCGCATACTACTACTATTATTATTATTATTATTATTATTATTATTATTATTATTATTATTATTATTATTATTATTATTATTATTATTATTATTATTATTATTATTATTATTATTATTACTAATATTATTATTATTATTATTATTATTATTATTATTACTATTATTATTATTATTATATAATTCCTATATACTACCAACCCCTACCCAACCCTAACACCCCCCTTATATATATCATGAAAGTTGATTTTTTTTCACAGTCTTGGATACAAGTAGCGCAACGAGATATATTTGATATATAATTAATATTAGTGCTACCAGTGCTATTTAATATTATTAATACCAGTATTATCATCTAACTATCGCTATATTACCTTCTCTAATTAAAATATCAGTAGATTCTTTAATAATTCGTTTTAAGATTCTTCATCGAGTTCTTTGAAGAGTAATTTATAGATATTAATAACGGTTATGTTATTTAAAATTGATAACTATTGTCATTACTAATACTACCACCACTATCACCACCACCACTACTACTACTGTTATTATTACTATAAATACTATTATTACTACTAATACTAATACTAATATTTCCGATTTTTCTTTTTCATTTCTTCATTTTGTTTTCTTTTCTACGATCTATATTTACTTATAATACCGTTGCTTAGGAAAAGAGAAGTCTTACGCTGCTAATACTATTCCTCAACCCCTACCCATGTCTATTCGTTGATCTTCGCGAAAAAAAAATAAAATAAAAAAAGGGGGAAAAAAAAAAATAAAAGTACCAAAGAAACCATACGAATATTTCATTTGATTAATACGAGCACCGAATTTATACATTAATTATTATTGATTATGAGAATCATTTTTAGATACGTCAATTGGTATTTATGATTCTTCTTAAGAATCTCTTTTCTTTATATCTAAAAAAAAAAAAAAGAAATCATTTCATTTAATATTATTTCTAACTTGTTAAACTGAAACCTCTAGAGTGATATATCGTTTCTATTTAAATTCCATGATTTATATATTTTTTTTTCTAAATTAATTTTATAAGAACACACACAAAAAAGGTGCATCAGTTAAAAATCCATGAAAGAAAAATCCAATGTCCACGTTTATGGTGATCCTTTCGATCCTATCGATTTTAACTTGACACCATCAATTCCCAATCTCGTATCCAATAGAAGCACGGTTTTTTTTCTTTTAATAAGATGTGTTAAAAAAAAAAAATTTTTTTAAACAAAAAATAAAATGAAAAATATACGTTAACCGTGCACCACCACCACTACCACCATCACCATCACCATCACCACCACCACCATCACCGAGTCCTTTCTTCAGTGACGTTCGTTACGAGACTACTACTCCTCCCCCTGTTGTACGTGCCTGGACGCAGGATTAACAGCATGGAATTTGTCTTGGGGGCTGGGGGAGGGTTACGGGGGAACATTTGATTCGTCTCGTCTCTTCAGATCAAAACCACATACGTTATATACGTTGGACGAATCCAAGAGATTTACTATGCTTTCATCGCTACTACTGCAACAAACTACCCTCATCGCAACGACACGTCGCGGGATTGTTTTCTTTTTTTTTTTTTTTTTTTTTTTTTAAGGGAAAAATAATTGCTATAAACATAAAAGAAAAAGGAAAAAAAATAAAAACGCATATATTACCATTAAAAAAAAAATAAAATAAATCTATACGTTATTGTTACGTATATATATATATATTTGTTTGCAAAAACCTACTGTCAGTTTCGTTTAATATTTTTTAACGTTGCAAATTGTTTGTTTTTTTTTTTTAATTAGATTATTAAAATCGTCAAATGATTTTTTAACATTTAATATTGTTGATTATTATTTTTAATTTTCTTCGTTTTTCATTTGTTTCGTCTTCTTTTTTTCTTTTAATACTACGATTGTAATAGAAATGTTGTGTATACGAAAAAAAACTAAAAAAAAAAAACAAAATAATGTATTGATCAATCTAGATAAATTTGTGCAACGTTAAATTATGTTTCCGCTGTAGTAATTTATACAATGGTTGTTACGATGAAACAGAAAGTAATTTTTTTACAAAACTCTTATCGAGAGAAATTTAAAAAAAGAAAAACTATAACTAACGAATATTTTAAGGCTTTAATTGTGCTTTTCTTATTATTCGACAAATCATTGTCGTCTTCGTCTACGTCTCTTTTGGCTGTATGGGTTTAATTAATTAATTATATTAATATTTCTGTAACTAACTGTGATAATGACGTTCTTTTTACACTTCGATTAATAATAATAACAATCGCTCAAGTTGGTTGTTCATATATTTCAACACGATCAATTCCAAACTAATAATATCGTTTATATAAAATCATTCGCACAAAATGCAAAATTGTATTTGACTGCAAAGTTAAATCTAGTATAAAATAATATTTGTTCGATAATCTCATTAAAATTAATATCCAGTCAATTGAATATTTATATATATATATGAATTGTGATTAATTTAAATGTGTATAACGTCAATGAAATATCGTTTGGTCTTGATCATGTTATAAAAATTCTTCGAGCTGCTATATACAATAATAACCGTTACTAACAAAAACAAAAAAACAAAAAATGGTGCAAACAATTTTAATATAACTAAAAATAATAATCGTCTCTTTATTTTTTATATAATAGAATTCCACGATCTTCTTCAAAGATATATCCGTACGATAAACAAAAAACAACACCAAAAAAAAAACAAAGAACAAAATCAAAATTTTCCCAATATTTTAAAAAAACGAACAATCCATTTACCCTCTCCCACAATTCCTATTAATATTTTTATTATAAAAATTAAATTAACACATACACACACATACACAGAGAGAGAGAGAGAAACACGGATTCGATCATTATGTCGAAATGATCGAATAATCGAACGAGTGGGTTGACACACCTTGTATATTCCTTTCATTACCAAAAAAAAAAACAAAAAATTCATCTCGAAAAAAAAAAAAACTACGAAGATATCAACCAAGTACGACGATCCTTTTCTATTTTCATCTTCCTTCACCACCACCACCATACAAACACCACCACCCCTCACCCTCCTCTGCAACTGAGAAAGAAAGAAAGAAAAATAAAAAAAAAAATGAAAGAACTGAGCAAAAAATTATACCATTTGACGAGTCCGAAGTGTTTGCGTGTGTTTTATTTTGTGCTAACAAATTTACAAAAACAAAAAAAAACCAACAAACAAAAAATAATAAACCATGGATGCCTTGGAAGAAAAGTGCTGCATGGGTCGTGTGGATGAGTATAAAAAAAGAGTGAAACAAAAAGAAAGAGATACATTGAAATAAAATGGTGTGTATCATCTTGCGAGATAAAATTGAACACGGAGGGGGAGGGAAAAATATATTATAATGAGAAACTTTTTGAATTGAAGAAGAAGAGGAAAAAAATCTACTGAAAAAAGAAGGATCAATTTTCAGAAGGAACATAATTGGTGAATTAATAAAAAGAAAAAGAAAAAGAAAAAGAAAAAAAAGAAGATATAAAAAAAATAGAAAAATAAATAATTATAGAAAAAGAGAGAGAGAGAGAGAGAGAGAGAGAGACGGGGAACGTGACATGATCGATGATGGATCAATTTCTGAACGGCGTACGAGGCTAGAATAATAATTTGTGATATCGTGCTCCACCATATGTTGTTGTTGTTGTTGCATGACGCTTTTTGTATTGATAGATGAATTTTTGTGCCTCCGAATGTTGTGTATGTCCTATGTGTATGTGTATGTATGTGTGCGTGTATATGATCCTTGATTTTTTGGGGATCGCTGTTGTTGATTGTTGTTATTGTTGCTGCTGTCGCATAAGTCCAATTTATTAATTTTTTTTCTTTTCTTTATATGTTCCACGGCATGCGCAAAAATAAGCGAGCTTGTATATAATTTTTATTTATTTATATTTTCGTTTATATATATAATAATTAATTTTTATTAATTTATTATTTATTTGTTGTGTGGAAATTACGTATTTTTGCGATGTGTTTTTTTCTTTTCCCGGCATGAGAGCGCGTGTGTGTTAAAAAACACCACGAACTGTAATAATAATAATAATTATAATACTTATATTATTTATTTGTGTGTGTCTCGATAAATAATTGTACTCGTTTTCTTTTCTTTTTATATTTTTTTTCTTTTTTCCTCTCTCGTTACCGTGAAAGAACGTAACGACATGCACGAGATCTTCTCTTTGTGTGTTAGTATTAAAAAAAAAAAACAATTATTATTAGACGTATAGTTTTTAAAGTAGATTTACGATTGTTAAATAATATATAGATTTTATCTTTCCTTAGATAATCGTAGTTTTGTTTTTTCTTTTCTTTTCTTTTTTTTTTGTTTGAAGAAAAATTAGTACATATTAGAATATTTTAGATTTAGTTACAGCGAGATATATTAAACAAACGCTTTTATGAATTTTTCTAATCGATGCGTCGATTAATTATTTATTATAAATGTTATTAATAGTTACTACGTAAGTAGAGAGTAATGTAGTAATTATGTTACGTGTTACGTTGCCAAGAGGGTATTTATTTTCGTAATATTTTCTTTTTATTCTCTCCCCCCCCAAATCACCCCCTCTCTTTAAATAATTAATCCCGAATTTCTTGTTTAAATATCATTTTAACGATTTATATATTATTCTCTCGTTTATGGTTTTGATTTGCGAATTAATTCGAGTTATACGTGTGCATTGTATTTATTTAGGAATTCATCAATACGATGATTCTTAAATGAATATAATTATAATGTGTATGTTAATTTAATATTATTATTATTATTATTATTGTTATTGTTAATGTTATTATTATTATTGTTAATGTTATTATTATTATTATTATTATTATTAATATATTGTAAGGAGTTATGTTAACTCTCTGGTTACAATATAATAATAATTATTTTTATACGATTTGCTTTTATTTAATGTTGCGTAATTAAATGCTTATATACGTTTACGGATTAATGTTAATTAATTTGCAAAATAATATTAAAAAAAAAAGATAGAAAGAAAGAAAAAAGAGATTAATAAACAATCGAACGATCGGAGAAATGTCATTTGCATGAGAATTTTTATTTGAATTTGTATTTAAAAATTGTGATACTAATAATTCTTAATTTCTATCTAAGTTATTTAGATTTAATTATTACATTTGTGTTTTTTTTTTTTTCGTTAAAAAAGACAGAAGGAAAAAGAGATGAAAAACAAGAAAAAAAGAAAACGAAAAGAAAATTATGCGAACGAGCCACTTGCGTTCTTTCATTTCGCAATTGTTTTTTTTTTTTTTTTTTTTTTTTATATAAATTACATCATAATTCATAATCATTTTTTTTTCACCATAATCATTGTCATCCATCGCTTTTGTATCGTTATTTTTGCACACACACATATATTATTTATTTATTTAATATGTTATTTTTTGTGATATCTTTTCATTGCTATTTTTATATTATTCATTATTGCCTGACTTTTTGTTTTCATGCTACTTATTTCGCATTATAGTATTCCAAGCGTTTTATCCTGCACTATCGAAACAAACCCTCTAATCACTTTCTCGTATATTAGTAATTTATTATATTCCTTTTTGAAAATTTTTTGTTACGATTTATAAATTCAACAAATTTATATCTTTTCTCCAAGTTTCCAAATTCATTTCCTTTTGTATAATCTATCTTTCGAATTTATTCAAAATCGTTCAGTGGAACCGTTCGTTAAAATATCTTACAAATATAATTTAATAATAATAATAAAAAGAAAAGCAATTACAAAAATTATATATTTTTATTAAAATTGAAAATAATTGAAAAATAATTTTCATGCACTCGAGAACTGATCCACGAACGATTTATAAATTTTGACTATCTCGTCCTTTATTTGTTTTATTTCCCTTTATCTTAATTATTATTATTATTATTATTATTATTAATATTAATATTACTATTATTATTATTATTTTTATTTCTATTATTTGCAATTTAATTTTGACTAAAGTACAAATTAAACCACAAAACAAAAACATGGTGAACATTTTACAGAACCGAGAAGGTGGTGATCGACCTCGAGGTGGTGGTGGCGGTGGTGAATTCCAGAGATCAGATTCTTCACCTGGTTCAAGGCCAAGCTCAGTTTTACCAGATCTTTTGACCTCGTCACCGGGTCAACGTCAGGACAAGTCTACAAGCGAGGAGGTCAGATACACTTGTCTTTGCTTTATTATGTCACGTATCTTCAAATTCTATATTTTTCGTATATATATATAAAATATATATTTTATATATATACATACGTATATATTCTCTCATCGCTTATATATATAATTAAATGTATATGTGTATATACAGTCACAAGCATTAAAAATTGTATATACATATATTTCTAAAAAAGCACACACCCGCACACGCTTAACTATAGTTTCAATCAAATCAAATATATTTTATATGATTTCTGCGTCAGATTATGACGAATACACGTAATTCTTATCATCCTTATTATATAATCCTTTGATTGCTTGAACATTTATAAGTGTTCAATGAAATTCATTTCGTGTTTGACAGCGCTTATAGGCGTCCGAATAAATTTTTCCTATTTATATATATATATTGGATACGAAGGGTCCTTATTGGTGGTACTTGTGCATATAAAATGATTTTATATTTTGTTTCTGAATATTACGCAGTCAAAGGGTTAAATTATTGTTCGATAAGTTTCTTCGTAAAAGATGCAAATAATTTTGGTCACGAATTTCTTGTCTCCAAAAAAAAAAAAATATAAATATATATATATTCGTGGTTTAAAATGATATATTATATAAGCGTATGCGTTTAATTATTATTTAATTAACAATGTGCACACAATATTATCATAATATTCTATTACTACTTTTGTCGATCTGTTGTCTCGTGAGTTTTGTGAGCGTCGTGGCGTAGATTTTCGCGACAGTCATTGGCTGCGTTTTGTGTTTATTTTCATTATAAATTATTATATACACGTGCGTACTTTTTACAAAAAAAAAGAAAAAAAAGTACTACACGTAAACGGGGGGGAATATTTATTTATTCATTAATTCGTTACGTGTGTTACGATTTGTTCCTTTTCAATAGTGATACATTTTTTTTTTGTTTCTTTATAATATTAAAAAAAAAAAAAACAAAAAGCTTTATTCATAATGATTTTATTTCTATAAACGCAGCTAATAACAGTTAATATTTTTTAAGCGTGTAGTGGCCACGTGTTATATAATCAACTTTACGAAGTATATGCCAATTTATTTATTTCTTTCGTATTAAAAAGATGTAGCAATCGATTCGATACTTCTCTTTTTATTTCTTTTTTTTTTATTTTTTCAAACAAATTTAATATATCTATTTATAAATTAATCATAATATTTATATATACGTCCGTTATTCTGTCTTAATAATTTTTATTTATTTATATATATCAAACAATTGTGCTGATTTATTTTTCAATATCAATCAATCGAATTAATTGCTACACCTGATATATTTATATTCACATGAATCATTATAAAATGAAAAAAAGAAGAAAAAAAAGAAGAAAACAAAGAAATAGAAAAATAGATTACGAGGTGAGGCATATATTTGTAGAAAGTTGAATGAGTTCACGTGGAGGTGGCTTATGCTTAATGTCGGTACCTTGCGAATGCATTAGTGAATAGTCTATTGGGTGCATTTCGTTTATGCAGTTTATTATTACGCTATGAAACTTTATCTCTTTATAATGATTGAAATCGTCGGCACGCAATTAGAAACAAAATTTGGATTGTTTGAACGAATCGTAGAGTGTAACCTCGTATAATATATACTTTTCAGTAATATTAATTAATTTCTAAATTATTCGTTCTAAAAAAGAATTTTGGAAAAAAAAAAAAAAGAAAGAGAAAATAAAAATACAAAAGGCAGAAAAAATTACACAAGAACAAGACAATTGGCACGATACGAAAAAAAAAAAAAAAAAACAAATACGATTGTGGTTTTGTTAATTGCAATGAAAATCTTTCTATCTTTCGATAATTCGACAAATGTGATTGATTGTTCAAATAGCAAACGCAAGGTTACATCAGAAAGCAGCTACGTGATTTTTGTTTGTTTGTTAAGGAAGGGTGTTTTAGGTTTGTCCCTGGGGAAGAGATTAGGATTTGGGGATGATTATAAATTAGGGGATCTATCGATCAAGATTAATGACGAAACTAATAATAATGTGCGATATCTTTTTGTTTTTTCTTTTTTATTTTTTATTTTTTATTTTTTTTATAGATAGTATAGCCTTAGAAGTTGACTTTAGAAATATTCTACTACTTAAACTTTGTTTTTCTTTATCCTATTTTTGATCTTCTTTCTATAAGATTTATAAATTTTATAATTACATAGATTTATCTAGATATATATATGTACATATAGAAACACGTGCATCAGAAAACAGAAATGATGATGATGCATTTTATGCACTGTCGAATTTTCCATAGTAATTTAAATTTAATATTTTCTATATTTGTTGATTTTTTTTTCTTTTGTATTATTTTTGACTTAAATATTCAGCTATGTATATATATATAGATATATGTATCGATTATGCTCAACTTTTCGATTTCTCTTATCTCGTTCATGAAACGATACAGTAATCTCTTTATTTTTAGCGAATATAAATATATCTTCCTGTTTTCTGTTAAGCACGATGATACATTTTTTTTTTTTTCTTTTTAATTTTTTTATATTAAGGATGACAAGCAAATATTAGAAGTTGATTCGAATTTTATTGAGTAGATTAATTAGGAAGAGTGATCCTATTATTATAGAATACCACTGTTTTTTCTTCTTCTCGATAATTTTTTTATTCTCCTTGTTTCTTTCAATATCGATTTAAAAAAAAAAAAAAAAAAAAAAAAAAAAAAAAAATACCCGCGTGTAAGTAGAGACGTGAGATAAAGAAAAAAAAAAAGAAAATAACACTTATGTTAAATATGACCAAATTATTTTCTCATTTCAAT